TACTTTGATTTGTATATGAAAATTAATAAAACATATGTACATAAGTATGTATATCGTGTGTGTAGCTGACGCATTTCCGCCTATATCTAACTTGCATAAGTTATTCGTGTGATCTTAAGACTCCTGACCACTCACTGTGACCTATATGTTTCTACTTTACTGATGTCAGAAGCGAAAAAACCGTATGATTATAATTTTTGCGTTATGTCTACTAATAAAAAGATGTTTATAAAAAGTATTTATTTAGTTATTAACATAGTTAATACTTATTTTACCAAAAATATTTATTAAGGTCTGCTAAAAGGTTTTCTGGTGGGGACAGAACGAAATGGTTACTGCAAGAAGATAATGACTCGAAACACTGTAGTCGGTTTGTAGGAGAACACGAACGAAGAGATAGCATGAATTTCCGTAGATTTTCCGCGCTTTCTTCATGTTTTAAAATTATCAATTTCACGATTTTCGCATTCTAATACCAGGAGAACACGACGAGCGAAGAGGTAGCACGAATTTCCGTAGATTTGCGGAACTTTCTTTAAATTTTTAACCCTTTGCACCCGGAGCCATTTCAAGAGCCATCTACCAGCAACTCGGCGGCATTTGCTTAGGAAGACGTGCGGATGGGAATCGCGTTATGTTAAATAGTTTATCTTCGGAATCAAGTAATTTATCCTCATGCCGCTTGGTTTATATGAATCGTTAGGTATTAAGGAACACATTTCTGATAAAAAAATACAAATTTTATGTTTTATAATTTTCTAATGTGTGGTAACTTGTAAAACAGCCACCGATGTGCATCGCGGGTTGGTGCACGTTGAACATAAATAATTTATTTGTCGCCTTCCACCCGGTATTTCTCTGTGTAAGCAGACAATGCAGTCCCGTTCTCTTCCTCCAACATTTGTAATGTGCAGCTTGTTGTTTAGCCGTCGTGAATGCACTACAAACGGTCCGCTTTGACGTAATGCCGGCTGATATTTTTTTCATATATCTCAGTATATATATATAATATTTTGATTTGCTTTCTTGTGTCATTTCAATAGAAAACTCCAAAGAAACATACAGTTTTCAAAAAATGGCCGCGGCATAAGCTCATCCTCTATAATCACTAATAAACTCTGATGAGAGGGGACATCCGAGTGGTTCGCTAGACTTGCGATGTCCCCTCAGAGAGGACATCCGAGTGCAAAGGGTTAATGAATTGCCGTTTCTCGGGAGTTCCGACTGTGGTAAATATTTCGCATCTTTCATGAAGCGCTAGATTGCTTGTCCAACGCCACCGTTGCCCGAATGAATGAGAACTTTCTCTCCTTTTTTAATGTTTCCACACACATATAGCGCGTAATAGCTTGTGGCATAAACGCAAGGAACTGTGGCAGCGTCCTCAAATGTCCATTCGTCAGCTATAACCCAGGATACGATATCGTCGTGAATTAGTATATTTGATATTGCTCTGAAAAAATAAATAGTATAAATGAGGTTAACCTTGTTGAGCAAAATAATTTGGTTATACCAACTAAATTTTATTGCTGTCGCAACGACGTTTTGCTACAACGGCAAAATTATTCTTTCCGCGTAACCAATCTTTTTTTGCTGTCACTGAATTAACAAACAATTTGCTGTTCCAGTAAAACTTGTTTTCCCCGTGTTAATAACTATGTTTCACTTCGATTAAACTCCCGTGAATAAAGTGGGCGAAAGGACAGAGATCGATGGATGATTAGCTCTTGCAATTCAGACTTATTGGGATGTTTTTTTGTTCGACAGTTTATTACATACAGTGTGCCAGTATAGAAATATCATACAAATTCGAAAATGCTCGAACGAATTACGAAACATTAGATCTACATGATTCTTGTATTATTCATCCTCTTCGTCTGCTTTTTCTTCTTTTCTTTTTTTTTGTTCTTTTTAACCATGTACATACAAGAGAGCGGTGTACAACGGTCCTATACAAACACCCAGAAAGGCTAGCCACACGTCGTGCATACTGTGGTGGCGGTCTATCGCTGCTTCCACTAAACGAATAGCTAATTAATAACTAGCCGAAGAGAGCATTATGTACAATACGGGTGCGCTTCCCATCTCGCTAAGCTTTTCTTGCACGCTTTGGTATTGAAAGTATGCGACGTAGCTCCTTCGTTCGCGCGCGTTCTAAAGATGCTTGTCGTTACGACCTTAGGGTGTGTGAGGCGGAAAGAGGTTTGCAAAAAGCAATTGCAATCTAAATACAGTGCGTAGGATCCTCAAGGTAACGGATGCCTTCCAACAAGAGACACAATGTGGTGGCACAATGTGACGCAGGATCGAACATTTGCATCAGTATTATGCCAACTTATCAATAATTTTTATGTAATTTTTATGTAAGTTTGCGTGTAATATTAAATACACTGAAGGGTTGTAGCGATTCTTGGTGCGTCTTGACCTTTTTCTCTATACATTATATTTATTATAAAAAGATATAAGCCCAGAGCATATATCAGCATTGTAATAACAAAAAAGTAGTCGATGCTTGGCAGCATTCATGTTTTGCCAAATATTTTTAGATGACTGCAATATATAAAAGTTACGATTGACGATAAAACTATTAGCTTCTTCTTTTGAAATAGATTCGAGTCGCTCCAGATACGATTAATGACGTCTTAGGTTCTGTAATTAGCTAATAGAGGCTGATGAATTGTTATTAATTGCCTCTGGAGTGATTAAAATCTGCTTCATTCAAACGTGAAACATTATATATAATATTTGCTAACGTCTAATACATTATCGTCAACTAACTGTTTCGAAAATTAAAGTATTCCATCTCAAGCGACCCACGCACTACGTTCAATTGTGAGACACAGTCTCTTTCCATGTTTCCTTGTTGGAAAGCACCCAATATTTAAGAAAAAAAATTATGTTATATTCGCATCATTGAAAATTGAATCGCTCGCGCATTTCGTTTTTGGATCAAGTGAAAACGTTTAACAAATAACCTTCTTCGACCGACGGCATAAAGTATGTTCCCCCAAGTTAGTGTTTTATAAAGCATACACGTGCGATTTATACACACGTAAGATAGAAAAATCGCTAAACACGTAATGGTTATAATACGCAAATTTGTCAGAACGCATCTCCGTGAAATTTTATGTTCACAGCTTCGCAATCGAGTATTTTATTTGGAACTTATAAATTTCCTCTCCATTTTTAACACACCGAAATCCCCGAACGATGTAATCACACGCCAAGCGTGAAAACAAGAAATGAAATTTACTGAGTTATATTTCTTCCTTTTTTATTTTTGTTTTATATATATCTCTTTTTTTTTCTTGTTAATTCTCGATTGTGCTCGTAAAAATGAAGACGAACGATAAGTAGACGTGGGAGGAAACACAGACAAACTTAACGTCAGTGAAAGTTGTGCGATTTCCTGAACATTATAGAAATTCATAACATGTAAATCCCTAATAAGTTTTCTTGCTGCACTACCATTCGCAAGGCAACTTCAATTTTGTTTGGTACGCAAATTTATCTGCCTTACGTTCGCGAAATGGATAAAAAAATACATACCGCTCCCTTGTGCCTCCTTGATAACCAATAATCCGATTTTAACAAATCAAGGCGCGCGTATCGCACAGAGCCTCTCATTTAGACATACAAAATCGAAAGAGATAACGCAGAATATCAATGGAGATAACAGCAATTTCCTCGTCTGAGGACGGGCTAAACAAAGTAGCACGTGGCATTTGCAATTTTTTGCAAGCGTATTTCAGCCTTCGTGAAACTTAACGTAATCGGAATAATGCAATCATTAATGTAAATTTAATATATATTCCACTATTCATGTTCTCTACGCTACAACTTGCGCCTGAGTACACCGTTAATTAACATTGCTCAGATTTACAGCAATTAGCGAATTTATGTACAATGTATTTCCAGTGTCTGGATATCGAATCACTTCTTCGTCTTTTATTTACAGGCAGTTAACGATGCGTACTTGCAAGCTATTCGCAAGTTCTCTTAGCAAAACTGGTATTATAACTTCAGGGATAACGCAGTGAATTTTTATCGTATCGTTATAACGCAACGTGAGACGCTACGCGCTGAAGAAATAGAATGACGGGATTGAAAATAAGGTAACGCTCGATCTGAAGTCAACGATCAGATGATATATCGGAGATTAAGATCGCACTAAGACAGCAAACTGCGGACTCGTCTAATTTCGACGATACAGTTCGAAATTCAGGGATAAAGAATAAAAATTTCAAGGTTTTGTTTCTTTTTCATTCTCCGGTCGTGATGTCAGCCGTCGCTGACTTTTAGTCATACGGCACAGATCATAATGTAATTAAGCGACCTTCAATTTTCGAGACAGGTTTAAAATTCATTTTAATGTCCAATGTCTAATTTGAGACTGATCTGACGGGCATCGTCAGTGATTTTAGATACGTCGGTGATACAGAATAAAAGTGAACTCTGCGTGTTCAAATTTCTATCGGGTGTTCGTGAAAGTTCATCGGTTTTCTGGCCACACTTCTTTTCCTAATAGTAACGAAACGGTATATTCAATCAAAATGTCCGCCATCATTACCCACCGCATTCTGCCGCCATATCTTCCAGGCAATAGTCAGACTCCATATCTGCGAGTTGATGCATTTTCCGAGTCGATAAAACCATCGACCGTCCGACGCACTTTCACAAATTCCTGCAACAACCTCCGAATGCTCGACGAGATAAGCTCGTGCTCGTCAGAGAAAATTCAAGAGGAAATGCGTTTATTCGGTGTATGAGTGCGGAATAGTTGGAGAAGACGACGTTACTCCCCGGCGTCGTCATCGTCGCGGCTTCCGAACTATCGTTCGAATCCCCCGACGTTTCTAAACGGAGCACCGGTCGTCGGCGGTTCTCCCATTTGATTATCGTCGCGAAAGCCGGCGCGTGCCGGGCTCTCACTGCATCCGCCGTTGCAGGCATCTCGCTGTCACGGAGAACACCACGATGAATATCGCGACGAACGCGAAAGACGGTGTTGCTTTGCATTCGAGACGCGCACAGATCGCACGACACTATGGACTACCCGTGTCGTGGTGAAACGAGTCACTGTCACTCTCCACGTAGGTCACGTAGCTGTCGGTGCTGTCGGGATGTTGGCCCATGTCAGGCCCGCCGCTACCCGGGTGATGAGGCCCCGGAGGCGGTAACGGTCCACCACCACCATCGTTCATCGGTCCGCCGAGCATCCCCGGTGGTGGCAATTGCGGCGGCGGGCCGCCGTGCAAATCGTATCCGTGCATCTGCAACGGTGATAACGACAGTCGTACGCTTATACCTTTGATCGTGAAAGACGGCCTGTGGCCGCTGAGAGAAAAATATTTTCGGGGACAACGATATCTTTTTTCCATTTTAACCACAAAGATACCCGAGAGAATTATGGGAGAACAAAAGTATTACATTCAAGTAGCATTTACATAATCCAAATTATTATTACGATACTCCTTAGTAAATATTTACTTGAACGTGGTAATTTTTTTCAGTATATTATCGCTCTAAACTAATTGCCTTTCAAGAGCGTTATATGAGATACAAAAAGTTACAAAAATGGCAAATGCAATTTTCATCGTTAAGCAAACAAAGATTACTTCTCAACCGATAAGGCCGATTAAGTAATTACTTTCCAATTTCAGCGAATGAGAAAGAATTGAAACGCAGATACGCTGAGAGAAAAATATTTGGTATTTGTAACTATAATCATAATAGTAAAAAAAAATTATAGTTTATTTAAATTAATTTCAGTCGGTAGAACCATTTTTCTAATAGTTACTATAGTGTAATAATAATCTTGCATGCATATTGCCACTATTCTTTTTGTGATTAAAACTGCAAAAGGGACATAATTGAGGGCCAAAAATCATTACAATTCTCTGAATGTGCGGTAGAAAGAGAGTGGCAGCAACGCATTTACCTGCGACACCAAATTATGGAAAGACGGCGCGTTGGTGTCTAATCGATCCAAGTCGGTGTGAAGCGCGAAGTCCGAAAGCGCTTTCCACGGCGGCTGATAAGCGTGAACCTCCAGAGCCGCCACCCCGATGGAACTCTCGTGTCTCACGGGACTGCTGGCGATCATGGGGATCCCGTGCATACCGCCGAAACCCAACTTACGGCCGTCCTGTAATGAGAAGCGCTTCGATCCGTTAGATCGTTCAGCGGAATGTCAGATGTTTCGTCGTGCCTGTGCTTATCCTACTTGCAATTAGTATTAATTCACCGACTTGGCCTTTGATATTCATCAATGAGAAACGATACTCGAATCATCACCCGCGTACTAATCGCCGTTTCTAGCCGCGAGCAGATCCTCACCTTCTCCTGCATCTGCTGCTTCAAGGCGATCGTCTTCTTCTTGTCTTTGCATCTCTTATTTTGGAACCATACCCTGATCACCCGCGGACTCAGCCCGGTCATTTCGACGAGCTGCTCCTTCATGAGGGCGTCCGGCCGCGGGTTCGCGGCGTAGCAGGTCCTCAAGGTGTGCAGCTGCTTCTCGTTCAGAACGGTGCGCACTCGTGTCGGCTTCCCGTCGGATCCGCCGCCGCTTTTGTGACCACCTGAGCCGCGAACGCCGCCGACGCCGGCCTTGTGTGACCCGCTCTCCGATCCTGAATCTGCAAGCGCAAACATCGGCGGTTCAGTCGATCCTTTACGACCTCAGGCCTTCAAATTACACTAAACGCATCTTTCAAGCGTGAAATACAAATTATGCAAACAACGTTTCAACAACGTGTAAACAAATTCGAATTACCCCATCATAAGGCCTCGGGTGATTCATTTGAAACGTACTTCTCTCACAGTTATATTTTAGTTCGCGTAATTTAAGATACGAAAGAAAAAAAAAAATAGCACAAAATTCACATCTTCAAACGTTAATCATATCTGAATCTTCATCGCGTTGCACTTATATCAGTATAGTGTTCATAAAAATGAATCATGTTAAGCGAACCGACGCACATTCGAAGAATTGACCGGCTAATTCGATAGACAGATTGAAGAAGGGAAGGAATATTGTCGCCGACAGATTAACGCAAACCTGAAAACTGTTGCAACCGGGAAGTCAAGCTCGAATAGCCGAGAAAACTTTCTCAGAAATATCCTTTGCAGGAAGACAACCGGCCGGACAAGCAAATTGTCGTCAGTCTTACGGCGTTCGTCGGGAATGCGCGAGTCTCGAGCAGCGTTTGGGGGAGGATCGGAGAGGGTCGAGAAACCGTCGGGCTCGCAAAAATGCGAATTCGTTCGAGAATTTCAGGATCCCCTTCGCCGGCCTGAGAGATTCCCGGAAAGCCGCGCAGCATCTCCGGCAGCAGGAGTTGTTGGTTACAAAGCGGGATCTTGGCGTTCTATCCGCCGGCCGGGATTTATCTCATTCGCGAGGAAATCGCGAGGCAGAACATCTTGGGCACGGAAGAGGCGAACGAGCGATACGATTCCAGCCCGCGACTATCTTCCCAACCGGTCTTGCAAAACGGTCGAGTCCGGCTAATGGGAGATCCGGATACTGGTTCAGCATGGCGGACGTAAAAGATACCGACGACCGCTTGTACGGACTGGCACTCGAGAACAGTCAAAAGACAATATTGTCGATGAGCAAACGCGGATCCGCGACTCCCCGATCGCGGCGCGCGACCTTGGAAAGCGCGGAGCGTTTCAAGCGCGGAACGCCGCGGCTCACGATTTACCGTCCAACGTGAAACTTTATTTGCTCGAAGATCCTTTTTTCGCCGAGGAAGATTATTGCGTCGTTCAATTGATCGACCCGGCTCGTAATTACGAAGCTCCTCTCGCGCTAAGGGAAATTATCATTCTTCTCGACCTCAGCTATACACTTCTTATAGTTTTCATTGCAAAAATAGTAATAATATCACGCTTGCGAGAAAGATGCTTCTCCTGGCTATAATTCTTTCACTGCTGATGATTACAGTTATCAAATATCAAATATTTTTCTTTCAACGCGTAGAAGAAAGATTTGAAACTTGGGTGCTTTCCATTTGGTGACACAAGCCGACATGAGCGTCATCCTATCTTCGTTATTCATTGAATGTGGAACAAAGACAAAATGATGCTTGGGTCACTAAATTGAAAGCACTCTGTGTGTGTTTCGAGTACTTATTCAAGTGATGCGCATTATACAATTTTAGAATTGCCGTCACATTTCTCGATTTTTCCCTAGTGGCGACTGAACTACAAACGTCACGTCTAGTTGTCGATACTTTTACTACTAGTCTTTATCAAGTTCAGGTAGTTGGTCCGTAGAGTGCTGGATTTTTAGTGGCTATTAAGGGACTTATACTTCAGTTTATTATGTACTGAAAAATATACTTCCCTATAACTTTACTTAGTTATCGAAGTAATAAATATCAATTTTAAACGAAATTAAGATAAATGTATTGTTCTTATTAGTACTTTGTAAGTCAGTTGAGCTAACAGAGGTGTGCACATAATAGAAAGTGGTGTATAAATATTTAAATATGTTTATATGCACACACACACACACACACACACACACACACACACACACACACACACACACACACACACACACACACACACACAAATTGTAAATTTTCTATGGCTATATTCAAAACAAAATATTGCTCAATAATTCTAAAATATTTGTATAATGTCTCTATATTAGTTACTCATAAACTCAGTATTTTTCATTAAAATCCTAAATGTGACTTAAAAGAAATTAAAAATAAGATATTAATCTCAAGAAATACGTATGATACGTAAAAAATGTCATATTTAATTTGCGAATATCTCAAATTTCGAATGATCAATCCTATTCTGACTTTACAGACGTGTAGATAATATTTCCATCAATATGCAGCTAAACTTTGAAAAGAATCTTAAAAAAATGATTTGACGGACCAGCTATCTTAAACTTTTACTAGAAAAAAGTTCAGAATAGTATGAGCATCTTGATGATCTTATCAACAAAGTGTTTTTTTGTGTAAAAGTCGCGCGATCCAAAACGGCGTTGTTCATTCCGCGTCGTTATCAAAGAAGTTGAATTACCTAACAATAGATCCTACAAGAGCCATTTGTCGGTACATTTATCCCGAATATCCTGAGTATCACTTTAGACATCGTGTCATCCGAAAGCCGGTGGATCCGTCCGCAGGAAGATTGAGAGCCAACGAAAGTACGCTACAGGAGAACAAACGAAATCCCACTATTTCACTGCGTCCTAACCAAATAATGGTCTTGGTTGTCGAGCGGGAATGAAACCGGCGTTGACATGGCGGCATAATGATAAGAAGGAGTACGAGATCCTCGACCTTTGAAAAGCAATCACGTATAGATGATACATCACGGACTCGAAATACTTCATGGAAGAAAAATTAAAAACGTATTTGACTTGGTGAATTCCAAGTTTATGCGAATATACAATATAAATTAATTTCGTGTGATTCTTTTCAAGAAATTGCTTCTCACCCAAGTAATAAGAATGAGGAATGGACTTTTTCTGCTACTTCCAAAGCACAAAAAAGGTCGGACAATCATAAAAACGTAATTAGGACTTATTAAAGAAAGAAGGAAAAAAATACGAAGTTTATGTGCAGTTCGAAGGAATCGGCGAGGGGAATTATGTTAATTCTGCAAACGAATTGAAATCCTTCCGTAGAAATCAACACGGCTGACGTTTTTGTGTAGCGTTCAAGTCGCGTGAAATATGAATCTCGCGACGGAATCGCGATTTCCGCGTAAGCGCTCAAAAAAAAAAAAAGAAAAAGAGAAAAGGACGCACGATTCTCTGTAGAACTTATTAATAACCCATTATTAATGATTCGACGACACGGTCGTATCGCTCGCGTTTCGTTGACGGGCGTCGTCTCAGCGGCAGGACATGAAGCGCGCTAATAAAGAAAATACGAATAAGAGAAAACAGATCGTGCGTAGTTATGCGCGACAGTAGTTGGCAGGGTGGTGTTACATTTGGCACCTCCGCAGCAGCTCTAAAGACACGTCGGGTCACTACCGTCGGCACGAGGTGGTCCAACAATTTTGTGCATAAGGAACGATGTTTACGCGCGACCATTTCCATGACGAATCACAATGACAAACACGGGACATACGTGCGCGCTCATCGCGCTGCCGCACACGAATTATTTGCACGGGAATTAGTATATCGGCTAATTATGCCGACGTTTGTCCTCTGCATTTTGAGGGGGAACAGGACAGCGGAGGCAGCGTGTACGAACGAACGGTAGCCGACCGTTGCGCACGAGCGAGCTTCACGAGTTCTCTTTCGCGTCACGATTATCGCATTACATGAGATTAATTGGGAAATTCGCTCTTTTTTCCTTTTCGGAGATCAATGATTATCCTAAGGATTTGTCAAAGAAGTCATAAGGCTCGGTGTCGCATTTTCGACGTCGCATACGGACCTCGGATGTTTAATCGCAAAACAACGTTCAGGAGGAGCCTGTGAGGATCGACGCGGACTGATCGTTTTTTTCTTACCCTCTAACCCTCTTGCACTGATAAACGAGAATTTCTCGATCAATATTAAGTGTAACATGTCTATTTTATCCCTAAGATCCTTTATTATTTACGCGGACTCGCGGCTTCGATTTAGCGGACACTACAACGTGAAGCATAATTTATGATAATATTTCGGATGTTTACGAATTCGTCAAATTAACATATATTAACTGTTTTCTGAGTTTCATTCTGACCCGAAAATACTGAAAGAATTAATATCGATTATTCGCTATTAATTGCGATTATTTGCCAAGCGGGTATTCTTTTCTAGACATTAATCGACGCAGCCTCACGCAATCCGGTAACACGCAGATTCGGGATCGCCGAAATTCCGAGCTCCGGCTCGGGTTAATTTGTTCAGTAGCAATCCAACCGGGTCAGACGTAACATGCATTACACTAGGCTGCAGGACATTAAGCCCACATAATCCTGACGTACAGGAGGGCGATGGTCAAGCCTTTACGGTCTTAACGGGCTTCAATTATCAACACCTAATTATACGTCGTGATCCTAACACAACATCGCTGTTAGGCGAGTCCTTTGAGCTTACCCTCGAGCGCGCGCCCTTTTGTAAATTTGGTCTTTGTACACGAATAGACTATGCCCGATAATCCACAGACATATCCTATACGTCGCCGACGTACGTCAGAAGCCGAATCTCCGACTTGGACGCGCCATGGAAGGAAGCACGGCCGATCGTATTCACGGGCGTAATTGTAGAAAATCTCGATAGCGACGTTCAATTAAGGATAATTGACGGAGCTGAGCGGGAATAATTAGAGACGATACAAATGTTAATTTCACGATATCGTGACCCATGAACCATCAGAAAGAGAGAGAGAGAGAAAGTGAGGGAAGGGGGGACGCATCAATCTGTTGATTATATCAACGGTACTATAGATGATTAAATTTTAACTATAAAAATTACGCATCACCAATAATAATAAGTTGAGACTCGTTAATAAACACCATTGGCGAGGGCGGAGAAATTGATGCACGAATCAATTCCCTTTATTCTAGACGTTCCATTTCGACAATTCACAAAGCGAATCGATACGCGCAGCGATTTCTGCTTTCGACTCACGCTCCGAGCTTTTCTCCATCGCTATTTTGCATCTGTGATTGCCACCGGCAGAAATGGTTCACGGGCGTGAAATTGTTCTAATTGCAGAATCCTCCGGCGACTCAGGTGGCACGCATCAGCAGAGATTAGATTTCGTGACGAGATCAAGATAGAAATACGTGATCGTTTTCTCACCTGACATCGAACCATCGTTCGGATGCAAATGATGATTGTTGTTCGTCAAGGAGGCATTGTTGTTGTTCTCGCTTCCAGGTAGACCGGTAGCGCCGGTGCAGTGTTTCCCGCCTTCGAGAACGTCGTGATCGTGCCGGCAGAAAAGGCCGTCCTGCCTCAGAGCGAATTCGTCGCCGGTCTCGAGCCGCCTCATACAAGCGCAGCATCGAAAGCACTCCACGTGATAGATCTTGGTTTTCGCCCTCATCACGTAATCGTTTTTGCTAAAGCACTGGCTACACTTGTCGCACTTCGTACCGAACAACCTGGAACACGTATTTAGAAAAATATATACAGCCTCCTGCTCCTCATTTCTCCAATTAATACCTCCCAAGTTAAAAACGTTTCATTCCTACGCCGAGGAGAGTCAAGGAAGTGCAGAATTTAACACGTTCATTGCCAAGCTGAAAATTGGAATTTCGTATTTTTAAAATTTTTTTATTTAGTTTTTATTGTGCTCAAAATAAGTTAATATATTATTTATATTCTTTTGTTATTATGTACATAGGATTTATGTACTCTAAATATCTATTAGGCGATAACGCGTGATCGGGCGTTTGGTGAGAACTCGCATCACGCGATATCGCGTGATTGGCAATGAACGTCTTAAGGAGAGTTAATTCCTTCATTCGACGACTTTTCCCTTGACGCAGAAGAGTCTATTGAAAAATTGATCGCTGCTTAATTTTTATATGGATCCTGGTGCGACGTCGCGCTAAATTCAACGTTTTGCGATAAATAATCGCCGATGTAAATATCTCATTGAGAAACGGCCATTGATTATTCCCTGGATACATCAGTCGTTTCGATTCGGCGATATTAATCTAATACACCGCGCTGGATTAATCGTTGTATTATTAATCGCGCATCATTGAGTGACGTGATTTGCAACGTTAGAGATCCTCCGTTTTATTTATCCGTTCCATCCATGATTTATCCTCTATTTCGTTGCCTCGTGAAGTTGTAAATATTTTTGGCCGACAGAATAAAAAAGCTCCGTTCTAAATCCGATAATTGTAAAGTGGAGAAACATAAATTGGGCCAAAGTGACTTTTATTGTCGCATCGTATATTTATTTCTGTGCGCGATACACGCACAGGCCGGTTTTTTCATAAATAAATTCAATAAATAAACTGTTGTGCGAGAGTCAGAGGGAGATAGATAGATAGAGAGAGAGTGAGAGAGCGCGCGGCACAAGATGTAATGAAATATCCAGTGCACATCGCTGAAATTGGAAAAGTTCGCCGTTATTCGCGGTAATTTGAGTAAAATTGATGGCGGTGTAACGCGGGATTAATGGACGCCTGTGAGCTGTAATTGACGGTCGCGTTGGTGGCGGACATTTCTATTGTTATCGTTGCCCCACCGCTTATTTTTCAAAGTCGATAAACTTTGCGCTCACGCGTTTACCGAAACTTTTCGGAGCGTCGCGCGTGCCGGCAATTCCGCGTGTGTCGCGTAATTGCGAAGAGCGTCTCTCGATTTCATCGTTATTGTCGAATTTTAACGGGCAATGTATTTCTTTTTTCCATAAACCGAACGAGTTAATTGAACGATGACGCCATCAATGTAAGCTTTTTACAATCGGCGTCACGTATAAATCGCGCGTGTATGTATCGCTCCGATAGAAAAATATTGTTAATCATAATTTGCAATTTTCGGCGTGCTGTATCTGCCGCGCGAATACATACGAACGGAAAAGCCCCGGCCGGAAAACGCTCGCTTTAACAGTCACGGGAATCAAGAGGGAAAAAATTTAGAATATCAAGTTACAGATCAACTTTAACATTTGACAATTGGTATAATCGCGTATTTCTTTTCTCGCCCTTGTTTCTTCTTTACGTAACAATCGGGACACACTTTCGCGAGTGGCCGACCGCCCGACGGAGGAAATGGCTGCCGGCGGGAACACCCAGAAGAACGTGCGAGGAGGGAGTTACTTTGGTAATTTGGACTTTTGAGCGAAAGCGACAGGAACAACAAACGGCCGTCATCGCTGTCGCTCGAATCCGCGGCCGGATACGCCAGTCTTCTTCGGGGACGGCGACGTTTCGACGTTCGGCGGATCAGCGCAAATAAACCCGCTGCCTCGACGGAGAAAAATATTTGGTCCAACTCGAATTCGTGCCGATGGGTTATTCGGCGGCATTAACGGTAGTTCGTGAACGCTGAAAAGGCTGAAGAATCCGCGAATGAGGTTGCGTATCCGTCCGATCAAACAGTAATGTAATGTTACGCGAAACGGATGCCCTGTATTATATATATTTATATAACCGGTGTTGTAGTCCATCAATATAAGCGCGTAAACTATTTTATTAGCAAGATCGAGTATATTAAGCAGGTATGCTTAATTACGCAATAAAAATATGTCGCAGACGATAATCAGCCTCTATTGATACGAGCGGACCGACAAAATTCCGAAAATATCGATACACAGGAAATAAAATGCTGGATAAACTTAATTATCTGTTTTTCAGCCTCTTAAGTCAAGTAATATTTTTAACGATTGAAGTGTATTTTAATAGCTTATAGTAAATATTTACTTGAACGCAATAATACTTTAATTTGTAAATAAATTACTGAATATAAATGTAAAATGATTTTAAATTTAACAGAATCTTTATTAAAGTTACGTAGTACTTATTTTCCACCGAAAAAATCGGTTGGTTTTAAATTTCAATTTTTCTGCCCAGTAAATGTTTTCTAAAAATAAGTTCTGATATTTCTCAATATTATGAATTTAATACTTGTCGCAATTGTTTTAACATATACAAGTAAATGTCTACTGAAGGAAATATCATATTGTACATAGTCAATTATATTTCTACTTCTAGTAAGTGTTTGCCAAGGAGTACTGAAATTAACCATTTTACATTTCTTTCTCAATGTAAATACTTTCGTTAGAAACAAAATGCGTTCATTAAGCAAAACTCATCGCGTCTCTCGGTCAGCTTCGTTAATTCGAAAGAAAAAAAGCAGAAAGGCCGAGATTTCGGCATTCATTCGCGCATCGAAACTTAACCCAGTCAAGCTTTTCGATCCTCGACGCTACGTTACTCCGTGAAGTAATGGTTCAACGCTGAAACCACCCACATTTTTCGCGGTTTCACCTGCAGCATCCGCGGTCGAAACGGCACGCGATAGTTCCTCCGCATCCTACGAAATACATCTACACGAAATCGTCGCAAACTATGAACGATATACGTGCACGAAAAAACAACTCCATTGGTGTAACTGAATTTTCAGTCGCCCTGGGACCAGATAAAAACCCAGCTTGTAGGAACAGAAAGATTCCTCTGTACGAGATTTCTACTCGGTCAATTGCTCCTGGTTCACTCTCAACCGGGTTCCAATTTAGCTGCGAATATTCTCGGTCGTCATAACAGAGACATTTCTTCGTTACCGGATTTCCATCTGGTTTCTATTCAATTGCAACAACTACATTGCTTTCCCGCGCGGTCCAATCTCTCATATTTAAGATCGTCTTTAGTTCGTCATAAGATACTGGATCGTTTCATTGACTACGGGGCAGCCAAAATGAGACAATCTTCAATATAAAGATTAGACCGTGAATACCGGCCTGAAAGCGACCACCTCGCATATCGACGTGCTTCTCGACCGTCGAGCGAGATGATGAGCACCGGTCGATCAATGCCGCGAATTCGCGATGTCGCGTTACTCGCGGGCTCAAATCCCGCGAGTCTCGCTCGTGTGTGCTCTTTTTTCTCCCCTTTCTCTTTTTGCACTCATGCGAGCGCACGCAACCGTCGTGACAGTGACGACGGCATACGGCGTGCATACGACGTGTGGTTGCCGCGCTTCCACGTCGTATACCTCGGATAAAAATACTCCGGGGCTTTCTCGACTCTCTACCGTCTCTCCTTCCTCCGATCTCTTCCCCTCCCGAGCCTTCGTTTTTCCTGCTCTTCCTCTTCTTTTCCTCTTTTTCTCTCCTTCCCCCCTCTCTCCCCCCTTTCTTCCTTCTTTTTGCTTCATTCCCTCCCAATCCGAGCGTTCGCAAATGCGTATCGGAAAGAGCGTATCGCGTGTCGCCGGGGAATGTTGCGGCGCACTGACAAGAGGCACGGTTTTGCATTAATTACCATATTGCACCGCGTTCGTGCTGGACTCTCTCTCTCTCTCTCCCTCTTTTTATGCCGAGTAGCCTCTCGTTCCGCCTCTTCAAGGAATTCGTTCGTAGTCGCGAGGAACGACACTCGACCCTTGGACGATGACGCGATATTCGTTCGACGTTATACGTCATCGCGAAATTTCGTTGTTCCTCGTAACACGTCAATCGCGCGATCGCCTCGTGTGCACGTACACGCATGCACGCACGCACACACACACATTACAGGAAAGTTTTTGGTGGAAAGCTGTTCCCCAGAAAATATCACGACGTGACTCACCTAACGTAATCGCGCTTGCAGTAGGTTTTGCCGTCCCGCACGAAGCAGGTGCACTTCTCGTCCAGGAACTGTTGGCACTCGGCGCATTTCAAACACGCCGCGTGCCACTCGAGATTAGGCGCTACCCTCAGAATCCACTGGTCGTGAATTCGGCCGCCGCAGCCGACGCAGAGCGAGCTCCTGCTTTCTGAAACACACGCGATCGATCGAGCATTTGAGATCGCATTGTCGCACTCGCCGAGGACGTCGATCCTTCGAGTTCTCGAGTCCGATTATCGACGAGGAGCGCCTTCCGCGACGGTGATTTCACACGGAGCTCACATGAGTAAGGCCGCGTTCAGACAACCCGTCCCCGAGCAATTTTTATATCGCACAACAGCGTGAAATGATTATTATGTTATCTCGATCGACGCGCAATCGCGGTAAAAGTATAGAAAGAAATTCTCTTGCGCGGGGGTGACACGCATTGGCACGCCGATCGATCTTATCTGCCGATATATCGTAAGGAGCACTCGTTAGTTACGTATTAACGGGCAAAATAGAGATCGACAACATCTGCGGGACCGACAAACGAAAATTAATCGATACGCCGAACTGTTGTCATATCGTCGCTTTCGCGACCGCGTTATCGCGTCGATATCGCGAGTAAAGCTTACGCAATACGAATCGAGGAGTAGCGACAATATTCAGGCATCATCCGTTCAATATAACACAATATCAGTGTCGGTCATTTGTCCGTGTTCAATAATTCAATGTTTTCCATATTTTCGTGCTAAAAGTGGCGATTAAGAACGGTAAGAATATAAACATAAAATGTGAAGTTAAGCCATCCCTTCTCAAATAACGTCTCGGGTTGCACGAATTGTGATTCAAAACCCGTACAAGTGCTGAGAAAACGTCCTGGAGACGTCCCAGAGATATTCTTTGGGTCGTCTGTAGGATGTCTTTGACACACCTGTGCTATTCAGGCATAACCCGCTTACTATCAATCATGCAACAACAATGGCTGCTTATTGGTCTGTTCAATAATTAATACTCGACATTTTTGGCGCTGAAAATCTCCATTGTTATCGAAAACGATAAGAATATACGCGCATGAAGCGTGAAGCTAAGCCACCTCCCTTCTCAGATAATATCGCGGATAAAACTTACGCAATACGAATTGTAGTCCACGGAAGTAGCGACAACGATCACATCTGCTCGCTCTGACACAACATCGGTGTCTAGTCATTTGTCTGCGTTCAATAATCAGTACCCGATAATTCATTCTCGGTATTTTCAGTGGTAAAGGTAGCAAATATTATTGAAAACGGCGAGAACATACTCATGAAGTGTGAAACTAAGCCAGCCAGCCGTTTCGGCCTGACGTCGGCCGCAACAATCGCAGATTCGAGCAGCAATTTCGGAGGGAATGGAAGCAACGGGCAGAAACTAATTCCGCAGCGTCGAGCGCAGCGAAAAATCGGCAGGGAAGGAAGGCAAAGTCGGACGCGACGGGAAGCCGCTTGGAAATTGGCGCGGCGCCGCTCGAGACGCACGAGTGCGTCGCGCGTGCGACGAGGTGGCGCATCAGGGGCGTACACGTCTGGGCGGCGCGCATCTCTACGCACCTCGTCGGAACTCCGCCCAGAGTCCTGACGGCGAAATCGCTCCGTTCCCGGAGTCTCCTGCCGGATTCTGCGCTGTACAACGCAGCGCGACCGGGAGAAAATCCGCGTTTCCACCGGACGAGCTCCGCTCGCAACGGTTTCGTCTCTGATCCCCCCGCCCCCTTTTCCCGCTACTCTCGACGCAATTCGAGCGCACGGAAAACCAAAGTTTTTCGAAGAAAATTCGGAATCTTGGTGAAAACGCTTTCTTATACACACTGAAAATCTTTCGATAACCACGTGGAATTTTTAGCTTCAAACCGTACTTGTTTTCCGCTACGTTGAATCCATTTGCTTTTCAAGCAAATGCGAAATAACTCGACTTCCTCAGTTGTGCACGTCATCTTTGTTGTGGTAGTTTCTATTAAACGGTTCTCCTTTTATGACACTTTTGAGTACGAAGGATTTTACATTGTTCAGTCCGGTACTTTTATTCTCTGATCGTCTTCAAACCTCCAACTTTATACAGAGTCCGATAAGACACATAAATCAGAAAAAGATCAAGTATCTTTAAAAGGTGCAACAAAGTACAACGTACGATAGATTTCAATACTCTCTTAAGTTGAACTAGTGAAAACGTCACTAATTTTGAATCAACGAAACGGTATTCTATCAATAATTAGTGAGTATCCACTCATTTTTTAGTGAAAACTTCTTCCACACTGAGAAACCCATTTAGTTGATTCAACTAAATTCTCAGCGTACTTAGTTCTTTTATCTAATACTTGCTGATTTTGGCTAATGAAAGATTCATTGCAAATTGCCGTTACATGTTTCGTAGCAGAAATATATGCACATATCGTATATGCATTCAATCACACGTCGTATTTGGCGTAGTTCGTATGGTAGCAAACTTAACCCTTATCGGACGTTAGCTTTTTATGCGTGATTCTCACTAGGTTGTAGCTGGTTTCGGTAAATATGCGAAAAATTTTCAGTATTATAAGAATAACATTTTTGTTAGAAATTATTTATTTTTTGAAGGAGTATTACAAATATATGAGTTTCAAATAATTATTTATAAGTTTTTAAGGTATGATATTTTTTGAAACAATCTCCAACATGAAGGGATGGTTTTCTGTTGCACGTTTCACACAAATATACTGTTATTTTTCTTCCTCCAGGCAACTTACGATTAGAACATACTAAACAGTCATTATGTTTTCCTTTAGCTTGGAGGATATGTAGTTTTCCATTTAATCTCTCCTCATTGTCTGTTGTTGATGGTGTTCCATATCGGAAATTTATAAAATTTTCTTTATTCATTATTAATATAATATGTAGCACAATTTTGACAGTATGACAGATATGTCTAAAAGTTACTTTTAAGTAAGTAACGTTTATAGCATCATATTAATCGGCGAGTAATAAAAGAACAACAAATAATAATAATAATAATAATTTATGATTATTTGATTATAGGATCTCATAAAATTGCACTTGTATCAACTTAAAGTGAAGTTTCAAAAAATGAATTCTGTCCAAGAAATATTTATCTCAGACCACTGTGAAACGGTGAAAATCGCAACCTCCTTTTTACTCGTTTGACTCACAGAGAACGCCGTGAGCGTTGAAAAAATGGTAAAGAAAAATCCCGTCGCTATTTTTAATAGCTTCTTAGATGACGTGCAACAAGATGAACGAAACACGCTACATAGTGTCACTTTGAAATATGCTTTTTTTATGTTTATGAGTATTTGTCTCCTAATTTCTTCGTGATTTTGTGACAGAAATTAAATGTCATCCAAGGGAACTCGTAATGTTGGGGAAACTCGCGATGTGTGGGAAATACTTCGCATGCGATGCACAGCGCCCGAAAATTAATCGATCGGCTGCGCAAGATAATAATTAATTTACGGCTCAAGCGTGCTAATTTTCAAAGCGCTACCTCTCAACTCACAGTGTCACTCTACCGTACGTTAATTTTCTCATCTTGGGCTGCGCGCGTCACGTATCGAAAATTGTCGTGCATCTGCAATTATGTTTATCGACTGATAAATATAATTAAGCGTTAATTGTCGGTGTAAAATGACTATTATCGAAAATAGAGTCACCATCACCTAACCAAACGTCACGTGCAATTAAGTATTTTAACCCGAAGCTGATAAGCTTGTATCAGCAAAAAAGAAAAAAATGCACGAGGCAGCGTTGGAATATTTCTTTTTTGCGAATTTCACGACTTAAAAATAATAGTTTCTCTCGACCGAGCTATCGTTTCGCGCTCACGCACATATGCACTGTGCATAATTGCGATGACACGTTGAAAGAGATTTCGACCTCGAGGCGATCCCACACAGTGACCTCTGAGGTTTTTCTACCTGTAAACGCTAGGATTTTCGAGACAGGACCAAGCCAACCAAATAATCTCAAACAAATCCCGGGCAGTGACCGGTGAGTCATCTCGTTTTTCCCTGTCCGCGAGTTAGGAAACAAGTATCGGGGGAAAAGGGAGGAGGAGGGGAGGCGGCTTCAATGATAATATCAATAGCCGTCGACGAGTTTTTCGGACTCTCGCGGATTCTCGCACGGGATATATTTATTCACGCGTGGACCGGGAGAATCTCGCGACCACCATGAAAATTCCCAGCCGCCGGTGGATAAGGTCAGGGTAGTGCGCGAGAAGAAAAAGGAAGACCGGAGACGATGGCGGCGGGAGAAGAAGGACGGGAGTCACCGAGGCGAGGGCAAGGTCGGCCAGGATCAAAGAGATTCGGACGAGAGGAGAGTGTCGGCGGCATCCCATTAGCTCCCAGAGACGACAACCACCTCGTATCTCGTGGAGACTCGATCCGACTCCAACGCGTCTCCTTGCGCGAGCGTGCTCGAGCGCTCCCGCACGATCTTTTCTCTCCCGAAATCATCCTAAAGATACTATCGCGTATTTGTCGCTATTTCGTTACACGTCTCGCTCACACGTGGGCGAGGCTGATTTAATACAGCCGGTATGCCGCGGAGTCACCGGATACGTCACGTATTTCAACCGCCTCGAATTTGTACACAAAAAAGGCTAGAATCGAGTAATATTTGTTATCAATTTAACTATATTTGAATAGCTTATAGTATAATGAACTTACTTGAACGCAGTGATGGATTTATTTGTAAGTAAACTACTTAAATGTAAGTGTAAAGTGGTTCTAAATTTTAAAAAGTATTATTAGAATTATGTAATATATATACTTCTTCGAAGAAATATAATGGTTTTAAATTTCGACTTTTTTGTCGAGTGAATATTTTTGAAAAATTGTAATTCTGATATTCTCAATATTATGAATTTACTATTTGTCGCAATTATTTTAACATATACAAGTAAATGACTATTTATACAAACGAGATATCATATAGTCAATTATATTCCTACTTAAAGTAAATCTTTGCCAATAAGTGCTGAAGTAAGCATTTTATTTGGATCAAATAAATACTATTTAAACGGGGAAACGTTTTCCAGTGTTAAAAGGAAGGCCCATATAATTCCAATAAATCGCTTTCCCGTACGATCGCGACCAACTCGGGAATCCCGCTGGATCTCTCGAATGAGTTA